CACTGCAAATGATCAAGATTTACTAAGAATATGGTAGAAAATTGTAAAGGTATATTATTTACCTTAAACTGTCTAATTTTAAAAATCTTTTTGTTTTAATGAGCAAACATCCACTCTGTGCGTCACAGCTGTGGGACAGACACAGTGTAACATCACTTCTCAGTTTCAGCTTGTTGACTTGCAGTCCCCCCGGCTCTGTTTTTAGTGTGTTTAATGAGTTTGAGAGGGAAAACAAAGGCAAATTAGTTGTTATAGTGGCTCATGTAGGTGTGATTAACTTTATTTTCTTTATTGATAAACTGCTGTCTTGACACCAGCATAACATACTGGGCCAAATAAACAGTATCTTTGGGTATCCGATTTTAAAAAATTGGATAATAAGATAAGATAAGATACCTTTATTAGTCCTACGAGTGGGGAATTTCATAGTTCAATTAAAGAGAAAATCATATAAAAATAATATCGGATATTCTTCTTGTGAATGCGATAACTTAACAACAAGGTGATGTACGAGCTTCGAACTGATACCTTAGGGCTGGCTATTAAAAATCTCGGATTAGTTGAAATCCTGGTGAGGTCAAGTTTCCTGAAAATCTTGTTAATGTGATAGCAAGAACAATGTAATGCAGGATTTTTAAATTGATACCATAGGTTTATCTACTAGGAAGGGTTACCCTAACCCTCTGAGTGGTAGCACTGGTGGTCACCAGTATTTTTTAAGTCTGTTAATTAATTAATTTATTTATTTTTAGCTTATTTTGACAAACAGAAATTGAGACTGTTTCTGAGAGTAACTGTCCTTTTGCTCCTCCTTACTTCAATTCAGTTTTCATACAGTGTCTCTTCCTTACAATGTAAGTAATACAGGAAATACCCCAACAATCAGACAGCCCCCTATGAGCAAGCACTTTGGTGACAGCGGGTAGGAGAAACTTCCTTTTAATAGAAAGAAATCTCCAGCGGAACCAGGCTCGGAAGGGGCAGCCATTGACTATTTAGGTGTGGGGGGAGGAAGATGGGATAAAAGACACGGTGGAAGAGCCAGAGATGAATAATAATAACTAATTATTAAATGCAGAGGGTTAGGAGAGTGAAAAGCGTGAGCGGTGAGCGTTTCATCAGTAAATTGAAATTTTGTGTATTTGTAGGACCAGCTGCTGTTCTGTGATGACTGTGATCGAGGCTACCACATGTACTGTCTAACTCCACCCATGACTGAACCACCAGAGGGTAAGCAGACACTTTACAGCAGAGGGTAGCAAACTCAGAGGAAGTTGTTAGATACAACTGAGAGAGCTGTAAAAATGTGACCAATACACCAGCTAGTGGCCTTCTGGTATCTGCCGAGTTACTCGGAGATTCCATCACTTCGAGCCTTGTCTCACTTTGCTTCTGTTTTCCAGGGAGCTGGAGCTGCCACCTGTGCCTGGCTCTGCTGAAGGACAAAGCCTCCATATACCAGCAAAACCAGAGCTCCGCCCCTGAGTGACAACACAGTGGTGGACTCCACCCCCTTCAGGCACCAGGATCCCACCCCGAATTGAAACGTCAGACCTCCTCTCAGTCTGGAGCTCGAGGCTCGGTCCTGATGTAGCTGAGCCGGATTGCAGATCAGCTTTAGAAGTCTTTCATATCTTCAGCGGCCAAAGGGGGAGGGGGGAACAGAGCCAAAACAGACCTCAGATCAGCAACCACGGGGATCAAACCGTCACTACCAACCTGCCTGCAGAGTCCCCGAGGCCTGCCGTCAAACAGCATGGACACACACTTTCTCCTGGACTGTTACACACCAGATACCAGAGACAGAGCGCATACAGTAACCATAGTAGCTGCTGTCTCCATGGGAGCTCCTAGGAGAAAACGGATTAGCACCACAGCTAACAACCTGCACCCCTCACACTCAAAGACACAGTGTGCAGTGTCGACCCACCACAGTTCTTCTTCTGCTGAATGATCTGTTTTTATTCCCCGAAAGGAGCAAAAGGAAAATGTCACAACATACAGTAAACGGTTGAGTATTCTTCTTCTTCTTCTTCTTATTGTTATTATTATTATCATTATTGTTATTGTTCTGGTTACTAGTGGGCTTTTGTAGTGGCATGTGTGCTTTTGTCTGATCCATCGGAGTATTTATCCTTTGAGGAAGTTTCCAGAGAGGGACCCGGTCAGTGCCAAGGTCCGCCATCACACGACAGCGGCTCATCACTCGCTCATTTGAGTCTGCACAAAAGTTTTTGTATTTGCTACCTTTCACCTCCACTCCATTACTTCAACCAAACACTACATAAAGACCATATGCTGTAGGCTGAGCTCATCAAACAAAAGCCTTTTTCCCCCTTTTTTTTTTTTCATCTTTCTCCATCAGACAGAAAACCTGATTTTGCCGGGACGTCAGAAACATGAAACTAATTAGGATAAAGTAGCATCCTGTTCTCACAGCTGTTATTTTGCTTGCTTTGTAAACTTCATCTGGCAGTGACATCATCCTTTCACACTCCATTTCTGTTGATTCAGTGGCACACACGCATTCACAAACTGTAGCTGCTTTCATCATTTGTCACACTGAGGCAGATTTGCATGCAAATTGCACCTGTATGAACGCACACACACTCTCATGTCACACTCTTTATTTTTTTGTTGTTGTTGACATTGTATTGTTTGTATTTTATTTTTTCATTTTGTATTATCTGATATTCCATTGGTATTGGGAGTTTTCTAGTAGAATTTTGTAAACTCTACAGCATAGCAAACACTTCAATATCTAGCTCCTAATGCATTCTCTGTACTGTATTTGCCTTTTTCTATTTTTTTTATGACTGTGACATGTTTGGATTTATTTGATTATTCTGATATGTCAAACCTCCATTATGAGTATTTGTATAATGATGTACTTTGTTGTACTATTTTTATTTTTACATTTCTTTGGTATTGAAGCCAATTTAGCCTGAATGAAAAATATCACCTTTAATAATGTGTTCATTGTTATTTCATTTTTGTCTTTTCCTGAATTATTCCTTCCTTAATTATGATTAGGGACGACTATTCAACTGCTTGTTAACAAAATGATCTGCTTACTTAACCAAATGGCAGCAACTCACTGAATTTAGACAGGTCAGTGCCACTTGGAAAAGGCAATTCCAGTGATTGTGAATGTGGCACCAAATGTACTGGGATTTTCCCACAAAACCATCTCTTGGGTTTCCAAAGAATAATCTTAAAAAGCACTGCAAAAAGACCAGGCTGAGCATATTCTCTGGAGAAAATGCCTTGTTGATGTCTGAGGTCAGAGGAGACTGCTTCAATGTGATAGGAAGCCAGCAATAACTCAACCACTCATTACAATCAAGGTGAGCAGAAGAGCTGGGCTATAGCAGCAGAAGACCCCACCGGATGCCACACCTGTCAGCTAAGAATATGAAACTGAGGCTGAACGCAAGCTTACCAAAGTTGGAAGAGAGAAGATAACAGAAGATGAGTCTCGATTTCCGCTGTGGCATTTGAATGGTAGGTTCAGAATTTGGCAACATGAAAGAATGGATCTAATCTGCACTGTATCATCATTGGTTGGTTGATAAAGTTGATACAGGCTGGTGGTGCTGCTGTAATAGTGTGTGCGATATTTTTGTACTTCTGAGCTCGTTAGTCCCAAATTAGTATTGTCTAAACACCTACCCGAGTATCGTTGCTGACCATGTTCCTTTGTGACTCAAGTGTTCCCATCTGCTTCAAGAACGATAATGTGTCATGTCACAAAGCCCAAACTGTTTTTTTTTCCAGCGTGACACCGAGCTCAGTGTACCTAAATGGCCTACACAACCATTAGATCTCAATCCAGTAGAGCACCTTTTAGATGTTGTCAAACGGGAGAATAACATCATGGATTTGCAGGTGACAAATCTGAAGTAGCAAAGTCAGACTGGATGTTTGCCTGTTCAGTGCATTTGAGCTTATGCATGCTGTCACAAACCTCCATAACACTGCTTCTTTACCTTTTTCTTTATTGAAATCATATTGCATATAATTAGCATTTTCCCTATCAGTAAAATTAGCTGACGGCTGTGGAACTGTCCATGGTGCTGAACTGCAGCAGGTAAACACCCCTGACTGTTTTTAACCTACCTTCTGTATCCATTCTAAAACGAGAGCGCCACTGTGTTAAAGTAACAACAGCGTTTAGATACATCACTTCTGTCATCTGCTTTAGCAGGTCAACTGCTGACAGGACAAAGTTAAATTAGTTTCCATGTCCCAAGAACCGATTTCAGCCTCCACCTTTGACCATGGCTGTGGGTAGCCCATCTGGCCTGTTTGCCATCTTCGTGAATAAAAGTATTAGGAAAAATAAACAACCAAAAGTTTGCTGATGATGTTGCACCGATCAAGAGCTGAGTAAATTAATAGAAATTAATGATTTGTAAGAATTAAGGTGTGGAGAAATGCCAGAAAATGTCTGAGAACTACTGGTGTAACTGTAGGTTTTCCCGCTTCTTCGGGTCCATTCAAAACAAGTTTAAATTTAGTCCTTTTTTGTTTAACTCTTCTGAGATGTTTTAATCTATTTCGTATTTCCATTTTACTTTAAGTGCAAATAAAACAAATGTCACAGTGCTGTTTAAATATTAAAAGTGTGATTAAGAATTTCGAGCCTCAGAAGACAAACATCACAGAACAAAGTTTTTTATTGCACTCGTAACTCAAAGACATACACTTCAGGACTCTCTCCAGACAGACATTTATAAACATCTTGCAGAATATATTCATTGTTGTTTCAGGAAAAATTAAAACAACCTTTGTGTTGAGAAGCTTTTAGCGGGGGGGCAGGTGTGGGGCCTACATTGTATACAAAGCCAAGACAACAGTGGCTTAGTGCAAATATTTGGAGCGTGATTAGCCATGCTATGCTATTTTTACAGCTACAGATACAAAGGCGTGACGAAAACACAAAACTTTACATGAAATAAGTGGACAAACCGAGAAGCAACCATATACACTTACATGTGAAATCATCTGCTCGTTGAGGTTACTTGTGGCAGTAATAATAAGTAAACTAACACACTTTGGGGTTCTTATATAATATTCTAGGTTTCAGAATACAAATTCCATATTTTATAAATTTCTTGTGAGACAGTGCATTATCATCGGGTTGGAAGTGCTACAGTACAAAACTCTGTAAAAGACTCATTTATCAAAGGTAAACAGTTTCGCTTGTAGGCAGCCGGTGTCATAGTAACGACTATCTATTGTGGAAAGCCACTTTGAAATGAAACCATAAATCATCTCTCCGTACGTTTTTCATTAATAATGGCCGTTTGTTTGCGTGTAACGGGAGTGTCGTCTAAAGCTGTTCAAAACCAACGGAGCAGAGCAGGAAGACAGCGTACAGCAGCAGGAGGCAGACTCCCAGCCTGCGGTCCAGCCTCCAGTGGTTCATATGGACACAGAGGACCTGAGGAGTTACGGACAGAAAGAGGCACACGGGAAAAATTAAATAAGTGCTTTTTGTTTTGTTGTGTAATCACGAAATATGTTAGTGAAAATGGTCTCAGACAGCGATGGGTGGTCTGTTTGTTTTTGTACACAATCTCACTATTTGATCTGTGCTTTATAACATCAGGAGATGAGCTACTCACAGTAAGCGTGACTGAGGCCAGAAGCAGAATCACTGAGTACACCAGGCCTTTGCTGTTTATCGTCACCTGACAGGACACACAATGTGAAGTGTGTAACGCGCTGTTTTAAAACACTTGCAACATGTTCACAGTCAAATTTTGGTTTTGGCCAATGATTTTTAATTTCGGGGCTTTTTTTTTTTCCATTTTTAAATGAAAGAAACTCACACTGTTTAAAAGGGATTTTGTATGATTTTTCTTTCTCCCTGTCATTTAGTTACCGTTCCAGTGGACAGCATTTCAAATAAAGAGATCAGCACCTGTACAGGTAATCCCTGCGAGCCAAACGCTCAGGCTTCAGACTGCAATTAAATAAAACAAAAACACAATGTATGATGCCAAGAGAGATCCTTGACAATTGGTAGTTTCAGAGAACTCTGGCAGCGAGCACAGGAACCCCGCCTACCTGCTGTTCAAACCTTTTGTTTGTGAGGAGCATCCAATCAGAACAAAGCTTAAAGAAAGGATGAAGGGAGCCCATGACCTCAGAAAAAAGTTTTTGGTCTCTTGCAACTCCTTGAATAAATATCTGGTTCTGGTGCATTGCCTTACACACACATTAGCTGTGTGTGTCTGCTACTGGTCCTCAACAAACAGTTTACAGAGGGCTGTAGCTACAGCTGCTTACACCGCTAAAGACAGTGTTTTGAGAGAAGTAACAGTGAATCAAAACAATAAGACTGCAGAGCTAAACAGTGATCTGGATAAGCATAATCTTCACATTTTAACACTGATGTAACCTTCAAATACTAGTTATAGCAGCTTTGAATTACTTCTTCATTACAAATCAGTTACAAATCAAAAGAAATGGTAGTTAACAATGAAAGAGTAATTCAGTAGTTCTATAAATATTGTCCAATTACAAATGTAAGTTTTAAAGGTGCCTTGAATATCATGTAAGGTATTTACAAAAGTTTTCTTCAGGTGCCGAGTGACTTTTTTTTGTCTCGTCAAACACATTTCATGGTAATATTGAAGCTATGCTAGCTTACATATCAAAAGTAAAACTGAAACTGAGGTACAGAGAACAGCTGGTGTTACCACTGATCCATAGCTGACTATAAGAGTCCTCAGCGCCCAGGGAAAGCCCAGACCCAGCAGCACATCAAAGATATTGCTGCCAATGGAGTTGGACACAGCCATGTCGCCCATCCCTGCAGCGTAACAACATCATATGTTCACATCTTCATTTTCCTTTCATTCATTAAATATTAAACACACAAATACACACCTTGTCGAGCGACAATGAGACTGGCCATGCAGTCAGGGACGCTCGTGCCAGCAGCCAGAAAAGTGATGCCCATGATCACATCTGGGATTCCAAATGTATAGCTGATTATTGTCACCTTAAGAGAGGAAAAATGGTCATGCGTCTGTGTGTGCACGTGTGTGTTTAAACCAAATGTGTGTGTGTGTGTGAATGTGCATCATACCATCCAGACCATGAGGTAGGAGAAGAAGGCTATCCAGAGTGTGGAGGACAGGAAGGTGAGCAGGTACCAGCGCTCCCACCGCGGCAGGTTACAGTCAGGGATGGTGCAGTAAAGCAGGACGCTCACAGGCCAGGAGAGCAGCCACTTCAGACGCACACACCACCCATCTGAGAACATGATGAAAACACTCAGAAATGCACAAACAAGGTGAAACACACACACGCCCACCAGTTTGCCCAGAGGCGTCCTTACAGTTTAATCTGAACCCTTAAATTATTCACTGGCACAGCCTGGATGTGTCCGCGACTTCTCGTGTCATCTCCTTTTAACTAACTCCATCAGCTATCAAATACTGTAAAGGATTATCTCTACAGTGCCTTGATGAATAAATATATTATTATTTATCAAAGCAGGAAGTTCTGGCTGATTCCAACGACAGAAAAAGACTTTTAGAAGATCGACACAGTCTCTCATCTCTGCATTTTCTGTGGAGAGGAAGATTTAATTGGCTGTGGATGGCAACAGATGGCATCCTGTGGCCAGGTACATGATCGAGCTTCAGGATTAATCTTTTCCTGTGTTTCCTGAGTTTTAAATATGTAATGAATATTAACATCAGAGTGGGTAAAACTCTAGTTATTGCGAAAAGCAAAAAGTGTGTGTTTTTTAGTATTTCTTTGAAGCAGTATGGCCTACATGTGCATTTCAGATACTTTATATTATAAAGCTGAGTTGAGAGAGCTGAGAGTAAGTTTTGTCTCTTGCTTTTCCAAAAGACATGTTTGATAAGACTGACTAGCTCAAGTGTCGTAGTTCAGTCTTACCATATAGACATGTTTTTTAGCAAAAAATTGACTTCTGTGTCAGGA